TTTTTTTTTTTTTCTTTTTCTTTGGACTTTCTCATTTAAAAAAAAAAAAAAATTACACACAGAGCTCTGTTTTTGGGGCATTTTGTGTGCATGTGAGGTGACAGTGACTCTTCAAAGTGTTGTAAAAGGGCTGGAGGGGAGATATGCGGAAGATAATAACTAAATCCCAAATATCACACTCCAAGAAAACCCTTACACTAAGAGGCAAAGTTAAGAAGTAAGTATATTTCCTCTGAGTTTACGAAAAAAAAAAAAAGAGAAAAAAGAAAATGGGGATACATGTATAATTGACTCTTTTACATTTTTAATTATATGTTTTTTCTTATGTTGCATGCTCTTTCTTTTTTCTTTTATTTATTTATTTATTTATTTTTATAAGTAATAGGTGTGCATCAACTTCACTAGCAGCAGCAGCAACCACAACACCACCACAACAACAAGAGCAAGAAAAAAAAAAAAAAATGCCAAAGTCGAAGCGTGCCAAGATCGTCCCTCTGACCAAAACTCGTGCTAAGACACGTGAGGATAAGGACGAACTCATTAACCGTATCCGTGAAGCCCTTGATGAATACACAGATGTGTACACCTTCACTCTCAGCAATGTGCGCACAAACATTCTGCAGCAAATTCGAGAAGAACGGAAGGCAGACAGCCGTCTCTTTCTGGGCAACAACAAATTGATCATGATTGCTCTTGGTCGTGATGAGGCTACGTCACAACGGCCAAATCTTCACAAGCTCTGCAAGTTTCTCGTTGGTACCTGCGGTCTGCTTTTTACAAACTTGCCCAAAAAGGAAGTGAAGAGTTATTTCGCCGCCGTTGGTGCGCAGGTGTACGCCCGCACTGGACAAACCGCAACACACTCACTCGTACTTCGCGCCGGACCGCTGCCGCAGTTCCCACACAGCATGTTTGATCACCTCTCGCGGCTTGGATTGCCAATTAAACTCGATAGAGGCGTTATTGTGCTCCTGCAGGACACAACCGTGTGTGAGCCAGAAGACACACTCAGTGCGGAAGCAGCACAGCTGCTTAAGCTCTTTGGTATTCAGTCCGCAGAGTTTAGAATAGACCTCACATCACACTGGTCAAATGGCGTCGCCAGTAAGATTGCCTCTAGGAAAGAGGAAAAGCAAACCGAATAATGGAAAGATATGCGTGTTTTTTTTTTTCTTCTTATTTTGTATATTAGGTACCGAAAGTGTTTCTGATTGGGTGTGTGCCTATGTATATACAAGAAGAATGAACGCATGTTTTTTTTTTTTTTTTCATTTTCCTTGTGCCGCTCTTCATGTTGTTGATGGTATCGCTGTTGCCCTTGTTCTTCTCAGCCGATTAAATAACCGAATAATGGAAGTTGGTGGTGAGTGGAGAGAGAGAGAAAGAGAGAGTAGTGGTAGGGGAGTGAGTTCTACCGCTCAGTCTTTGTGCATCTGAAACGCCAGCTACGTTGTCTCTACTGATAAACCTGAAGCACGCGCAAAATAACATAAGTAAAATCTACAGTTGTAATAATAACGAGAAGAAATCTGTTACCACCGTAGGGAAATAAAATTTAACTGTGTTACACATTACTTTGATGAGCTACGTTTTATGCAGTTTTTTTTTTTTCTTGTTGTTGTTTGTGTGTGTAATAATGATAATAATTATTTTTTTTTTTAGTCTCTTCTTTTTTTTATCCATTATTGACCTTTACTTTGTTTTTTTTTTTTTTTATCTCTTTCTCTTTATAGGGTGGTACACCACTCCACGTCCTGGAAATTGGATTGTTACCAAGAAAAACAAAGAAAAAGTACTCAAAAGAGGAGAGGGGTTGAGGTGTATACACACACACACACACACACAAAATAAAGTATCTTATCCCCATTAGCTCATTATTAACACTAACTGTTTTTTTTTTTCCTTTTTATTCCCTCTAAGCTCTGCAGAACGTGTTAACAGGAGCAAATAAATTTTTAAAAAAAATCGATACATGTCGGTAAAAGAAGAAGCGGCAAATGTGAAGGATGAGTTAGAGCATAACGCGTTTCTCATATCCATACGACCAGGAGGAATTCTTCATGACTACGTTGAGAAGGGCCCAGCAGAAGTATTATGTGTGCCCAGGGAATCTTTCCTCAAGTCTAGTGGCCTCGAGCCGTATCTCTTACTACCACCACTATCGTCTTCATCCTTATCACCATCAAGTGGTGTGTGTCTCATAGTAGATGGATCTATGCGTCTGTTAACACCAGAACAGCATGCAGAAGTGGCACGTATTCTACGTGAACATTTTCTCTACTACCACACTTTACATTTTAAAGGTGTCGCCTCAGCTGCTTTTACAACGTTACGTGGTCAACAAGGGGAATTTGCTTCCAATTTACAAAGTGTCTCACGGTATGGTCGTATTGGAAGTTCTGCAGTTATTTGTGATTCGGCTCCCCTTATGGACCGTGATGATCCTGATCTCCCTGACTTTCATCCGTGTAAGATGCATATATTTTTTATCCAAGAACCCCTTATGGATAAACAGGAAATGCAAAATACACTAACTGCACTGAAACGAGCTATTTTACCACCAACACCAACACCACAACAGAAACAGCAACCAAAACAACAACAACAACAGCGAACTACTTTATCATCGGATGTGACTGTTTCAGGTAATTCAAGTTTAACAAGTGATCGATTCTCACGTGAGAATATAACTAAATACAGACGCTCTGTAGCGGCAGATTACGATGTTCACTATGGAGAATTTCAAGAGTATATGGAGATGCCTATCTGTGTACCCCTTGCAAAGACACTATCAAACTTTGTGGAGACTATTCAACAGCGTGAGATACCACCTTTAACGAACGCCGATGTAAAAAGGGCAATAAAAGTCTGTATGGATCATTGTAATCGTATACCAATGCTGGCTCGGGATGAGGGAAAGCAACGCATCGCACTTGAGGGATTTGAAAGATATATCATGACTAAACTCTACTGGCGTGCCTTTGATGTTGACTCTGAGGATCAACAACAGAATGCCCGTTTGACGGCAAAACTGCGACAACTTTCACCTATTCTGCAGGCTACACAATTAGACGCACTGCCTGCTGTAGAGAAAAGTAACACGTGGAATGAGGCGATTTTCGAGTTAGAAGGCATGAATTACTTTAAGAGTCCACATGAGAAGTTGCGATGTGTGGTACGGGCGAGTAGATTACTTTCAACCGCTATCCACACAGCACTCTCGGCGGAGGGAAAGAAACCACATGGCTCTGAGAAAGAAAGTAATAGTCGGAGGAATAGTGGCAGCAGAAAGGATAATCATCCACATACTAGTAGTAATAATCATAATAGTGGTGATGCTGTTGCTTTTGGGGCAGATGAGTTTCTCCCATGTTTTATGCTGTTAGTATTGCGTGCCTCACCTCGTAACTATTACTTGAATCTGCAGTATGTGAAGCGATTCCGCAATGAGACTCTTATGACACATGAGGAGAGTTATTGTCTTGCGAATATGGAATCAGCGGCTGAGTTTTGGTTAACATATAATGAAACACCACAGCATGAGCGTAGGGAGACGAAGCAGAAACAAGAAAAGCAACACCAAGAAAAACAAGAAAAAGAAAAACAAAATCCACCATCCATAGATGATCTTTTTCCCGCTTCTCCGGATGGATCGCCTATTGTAGCACAAGAAGTCAATATGGGTTCATCTTCCCAGTTAGGTTTTGTTTTAGATGATAAGATGGAGAATCATGCTGGAGAAGATACTGGCAGCGATACTAAGGTTTTCGGACAATTCACAAATAAGGAGGTAATCAATGTGGCACATCTCTTGTTGGAGGAGCAAAAGTCGTTTGAGGAACTTACCGTGTTGGAATTACGAGCCATTGTGGCGGAGGCACGAATTTTACTAGCGGAGAAACAAGACAGACGAGAGAGATCTCACAGAGAGGAGCCACAAAGTGAATAATTATTTCCTGATCACCTTCTCTTATTGATTCTATATATATATATATATATATATATATATATATGAGAGAGAGAGAGAGAGAGAGAGA